TATCTTTAAACAAAATTATTTTAGTTAAAACACAAAGTGAAGATCTCAACAATGATTGTTTGGCAGACGGATACTGGAAAAAGTTTTCACACTCCTCTGTAATTTACACTTGTCCTTCAGTAATCCCTGTGATTGCTGTTTTGGTCAAACGGAAGGAAAACATATTGGAAAGTGTTTGAAAGGAAGATTTATAATATCTACCCTTAGAGTTCTTACAAGGATACCACATATAAAATATTGGACTGACATACTTTGTAGCATATTTAAGCAGTAGCCATTTGCTCTGCATAGAAAACATAACCAACAACACGAAAGTGTAGTGAGTTGGGTGGCTACTTACTAAGTTTTCTGTTTGTCAAAAGGTAGCTGCTGTGTCATTTTCCAGTGGACTATAGAGTACTTGTGCTGCACGATTTTATTGTCTTTGTCTGCTAACTTGAACATCTTAACTTTCTAAAGTACTTAGAGACCGCTGGCAAAGGCAATAAATAACATAAAAACCACTGCACATCAGGTAGTCTCTTGTTGGTCCATAATCTCAGCAATTGAAGCTGTCACATAGCTGGAATGTTTCTGGCTAACATTACAAATGATAATGTTAGTTATCATTTTTTTTCTTTTTTCTTTTTGGTACCGGGGATCAAACTCCCACCCTTGCACTTGGGGCAGGCAGTGGAACCACTGAGCTAAATCCCCAGCCCTGTTAATATCATTCTTAAGAGAGGGTGCTAAGTACTGTGTGTGTGTGTGTGTGTGTGTGTGTGTGTGTGTATCCATTTTCTCAGCTATACTTTTGAAGTAGGTAATCTCCCCATTTTACTCCCAAGAAAGCAAAACCAATGTTTGTGGAGAGAGTAAATGATCTAGATAAATAACTTAATGTCCAGCAGTTACTGAAGCAAGCAGCTTCCTGGCTGTGGCTGAGAAATGGAGAGTGTTTTCTTCTCATTGTTAGGGTATGGAAGGTGACATCATTGATGTGCACCATAATGCTGCCTGCACAGAAAGATCCTGACAGATTGGTCATGGGTTGTGACTGTTAAATGATTGGCCAGGCATGGTGATGCATGCCTGTAACCTTTGCATTCTGGGAGGGTGAGGCAGGAATGCTGCAAGTTCAAGCCCAGCCGGGGCAATTTAGCAACACCTTGCCTCAAAATAAAAAACAAAGAGGCATGGGGATGTAGCTTAGTGTGAAGGTAGTGGTTTGGATTCCTGGTACAAAAAATAATAATAAAAAAGATTGGTTTAATATTAATTATATTTTATTATATGTGTGTAATGTGTTAACCAAACTATGCTGTTCAGACCCAGGATGGCCTACATATAAATTCTAAAAACTCTTGCCGGGCGTGGTGGCGCACGCCTGTAATCCCAGCGCTCGGGAGGCTGAGGCAGGAGGATTGCTATGAGTTCGAGACCAGCATGGGGTACATAGTGAGTTCTGGGTCAGTCTCAACTACATAGTGAGACCCTGTCTCAAAAAACAAAAACAAAACAAATCCAAAAACTCTGAATCTATGGTAGATCAGGGGTGCTGGGTTCAGGTAGTGTCAGGGGCTGACCAGCCCCTGGATACCTGTAGGGGGTACAATGGGGAAAAAACAAAACAGAGGTAATGTTCAAGGTACAAGGGCGACCTAGAGCAGCCTGTGTCTAAGGGACAGACTCGATGATCTCCATGCTTGATCCACTTTTACTAGCTAACATGAAGTACAGGGGGAGAGGTAGTGTACTTTTCCTGGAACAGCAACTATAGTAAGAATGGGGCAAAGAAAATAAGGGACAAGTTAATCCTCACAAAGGGGACAAGTTAATGGGGATCAAGGCCTTCCCCATACCTGGAGTCCTGCATTTTTTTGCACGGTCCTCAGCAGATGTTATCTTGCCTTAGGAGCTCTGTCATGAGCTTTCCCCACACAGCTGGAAACAGGTAGCCTTCCATGTACTTCCCAATTCCTAACGCAAGTCTCAGTGGCCACAGAACCACAGAGCCTGTAGCTGGACCCCACCAATCTGTACATATCATGGCTGGTCCTCAGCAATTCCTCACGTAGCTTGGTCCCCAGTGGGGTAGGAAGGCTGCGTGGCTATGAGGTGCACAGGGCATGATTCACACAGGTTATACCTCACTTATCTCTCTTACTGTTAATGGTTTAGAAATTGTTGCCCCCACAACCATGAAGACAGAAGAGGGCGTGGAGCTTTGCATACCTTCCTTAGCTCTATGGGACGCCCTAGTGCCCACCCCTGGGGACTGTATTAGTTTTCTGTTACTGACACAAGTGGCCACCAATTTAAAACAACACGGACGTGTTATCTTACAGTTCTGGAGGCCAGAAGTCTAATATGAGTTCCATGGGGCCATGGGGCCAAAGTCACCTGGCCTCCAGGTGGAGGATCTGTTTCCTTGTCTTTACCAGCTTCTAGAGACACACCCTGGTGGTTATATTACACCCACCCAGATATTCCAGAATAATCTCCTTGCTTTAAGGTCCTCTGATTAGGAGGCTAAGTTTTCTCTGCAGCCGTCATTTCCCTTTGCCTAGCTTATTTATAGAACAGGTAGGAGCGGAAGGAGGGAGCGCTGTTCTGCTTGTGACAGTTCAGAACCATTGAATTCTGTGCCGACCATGGGACAGCCTCTTGGTGGCCACTGCAAGCAGGGTCTCAGGATTTGCTTGGCACCTGCAGAGGCAGCTGTTCATTGGTGGTGAATCAGGAAACCCTGAAATTTTCATATCTCAAAAATGAGACTTAGAGGGCTGGGGATTTAGCTCAATGGTGCCACCACCTGCCTCACAAGCACAAGGTTCCGAGTTCGATCTCCGGTACCAAAAAAAAGAAAAGAAAATGAGAGCAGGATCTGATTCGCCTTTCATTTATTGTTCCTCATGTGCCTTCACAATTCTGTGAGAGGGAGTTTTGTTTCATTATTTGAGAGGAGATGGAGGCTCTGGGGGACCCGGCAGGGTCTTGTGACTGAGGCCCTGTGTTACCCCTGGATACCGTGGTACTTTCTTTCTCCTCTGAATGTTTAGGCTGGGGAGGCTGGGCGCCAGGAGAGGGAGAGCAGAACACTCCTGCTGGCTCCTCTGGGAAGGATGGGTGATGCCAAGGCTCAGTGGTGCCACCGCCTGCCTCAAAAGTGCAAGGTCCAGAGTTTGATCCCTGGTACAAAAAAAAGAAGAAAGAAAAGATGGGACAGGCCTCAGGGCCAGTGTGGTAGACCCTCATGGGCGCTAAGATGTCCACACGCAGTCCCTGGGCCCTATGAATATCTGACCTGACCTGACCACGGGGACCTTGCAGATGTGATTAAGTTCAAGCTCCTGAAATGGAGAGGTGATCCGGATGGGCCCAGTGTCATGACAAGGATCCTTGAAAGACCGGAAGGGAACAGAAGAGAGAGACCCAGAGAGATAGGGGCACAAGAAGGACTCTGCCCAGCATTACTGCAGGAAGAAGCCACAGCCCAAAGAACACAAGCACCTCCAGAAGTGGAGACAGCGAGGAAACTTTGGGACATAACCTTGCAGACACCTTGGCTTCAGGCCTGTTTTGAGTGCCTGGGTTCCAGAGCTGCAGGATAACCCCCGGGGCTGTTAGGAGCTTCTAGGTCTGGGTAATGGGGTGCAGAGCAGCGGGTGCCTACTGCAGACAGTGAACGAGGTCTCTGGGATCCACTGATGGGCCCAGCCTGAGCCCAGCACTCAGCCCGGGAGGCTGCTGCCCTTCCTGGAATCAGCCCTGGGCTCCCAGCCGCTCAGATGTAGGCTTCTCCCCACACTGACTCACTGGGCGGCTGGTAAAGCTGGAGCCAAGGCAGCCAGAGCTGGCAGGCGAAGAGGCTAAGGACATTCTGCAAACAAACAAGGGGCAGAGAAGCAGTACTGTGCGCGGGCTGGATGCACTTAACTGAAAATGCGTGGTTTGAATTTCCTGCTTTGAATTCTGGAACCGCGTGTTGTTCTGCTTTCTGAGCATTTCTTGTTTACCTTTCAATCAGAGAAAGTGCTATGGTTATCTTGAATTTGCTCTAGAGCAAAGGCTCTTAGGCTCTCAGTGTCTGCTTGGTGACCTTGGAGGTAGGGTTTGAAGTGGGGTTTTTTCACGTCTCCCCAAAAAGGAGGATTCTGTTAATTTCATTGTTTATGGCTCATGAACTTTGGTGTGTAGGAGAATCAGCTGGGCTGGGCATGGTGGCACATGCTTGTGATCCCAGCACTTGGGAGGCTGAGGCAAGAAGATTGCTACAAGTTCCAGGCAAGCTTGGGCTACATAGTTCAAGGCCAGCCTGAACTACACACCAAGTCTCTGTCTCTAAATGCAAAAACAAAATCAAGAAGAAGAAGAAGAAAAAAAAAATCACTGAAAAACTTGTTGAAAAAAATGCAAATTTCCTGATCTAGGGTGGGACTTAAGAGTCTGCACTTATCACGATAATGATGCAGGGTTAGGGTTAGGGTTAGGGTTCAGGTTAGGGTTGAGGGACAAAGTGACTCTGCTGAAACGTGGAAGACACCTCTTGCCCTCCCGTGTGCCTTTGAGCGTTTTCTACCTGATTCGGAGTGTTTGTGTCCCTATGTTTACCAAGCTTGGTACTCAGACTCGGGTTAATGCATGTCAAAAACTCACCACTTTAATCTTCACCCATCCCTGAGGTGAATAATTATTACATATCACAAACAAATACTAATTCAGGAGGCTGAGGCAGGAGAATCGCTGTGAGTTCAAAGACAGCCTGGGCTACACAGTGAGTTCAAGGCCAGTCTGAACTACCTAGTGAGACCCTGCCTCAGAAAAACAAAAATATAGAAGAAGAAGAGAGAGTACACCGGAGGGAAGGGGGAGGGTGTGGCAAAGCGGGGAGAAGGGGAAGAATCGAGTGTAAAGAAACTGAGGCTCTGATACCCTACTCAAGTGCACCTACAAGTGGAAGACCTGGGCTCCCAAGACAGCCAGACTGGAGAGGTAGCCCAGTGCCTCTCCTTCCCACCATGCCCCCAAATGTCAGTAGTGTCACCCTTAAAGCCACAGGTAGGGAGGGGACCTGCCTAGGGAGGACAGGTAATGCCCATTCCGTCCTTGGACAGAAATCCTGTTGTGTGGTTGGCTTTGATCAAAGGCATTGTTTTTTGTTTTGTTTTTGAGACAAGGTCTCACTGTGTAGTTCAGGCTGCCCTGGAACTCACTGTGTAGCCCAGGCTGATCCTACTGCCTTCAACACCCCAAGTGCCAGGATTTCAGGTGTGCGCCACCACACCCAGCTTTAATGGCATTGTTTTTAATCATTGATTTTTCTCATTTGTTCCTCCTTTTCCTCCCCGCTTTCTTATTCTCTATGCCTTTCAAGACTCTGTTTCCTGGCTGGCTGCTCCCCGGAACCCAAAGATTCACCTGTACAACGCTGAGCAGGTTCTGAGCTGGGAACCTTCATTCCCAGGCAACGACACAGTTCCAGTGTCCTACCGGGTGGAGTATAAATAGTAAGTGGATGCTTCTCTTGTGTCCTTGCTAAGAGTTGTGGGGGAGTCCTACAAAACCCCAGAGCCAGCTACCCGTTGTGGTATTGTGAAATCCGCAGGAAGAGGTGTTTGTCTTGTACTTTTAAAATCTCCAAGGACAGAGATTTCACAACCTCCCACTCATCCAGACACTAAGCCAACAGGAGCTGTCTGAGAACCCTGCTGTCTACCCACATGACATCGTGATTTGCTGAAAGTTTAGACTTTCACTGGTTTCAGGACAGAGTTGACTTCCGGTCCTAGAAGGAAAGGAGCAGCTTTCGGTCTTCATCCTCAGGCTTAAAAATTTTCTTCAGGGCCAGGGATTTAGCTCAGTGGTTCCTCTGCCTGCCTCGCAAGTGGAGGGACTCAAGTTTGATCCCAGTACCATAAATAAATAAATAAAAGTTTGCTTCTTCTTGGGCTGGGGATTTAGCTCAGTGGTGCTGCCGCCTGCCTCACAAGCACAAGGACCTGACCTCGATCCCTGGTACCAAAACAAAACAAAGAAAACAACATGTTTTTTGCTTCATCTAACCTCACGGGCTAAATTTAGCTTGATTGGGAATTTAGTCATTTAATCACAATTAATTCTTAAATAACACTGTTCCACCCCACCTGCCCTACCTCCTGTCATAGTTTATTTCATAGTTTATTATCACTTGATTTGCAATAAGGACATAGGGAAAGAAAGACAGGCAAGATCTAAGTCCTCAGTTAGTATTTGTTTACCATGTTAAATACTTTAACTGAAGATTAGGGTAAAACTATTGGCTAAGTCGTTTTACATTTGCATAATATATAAAGAAATGGTAATGCTCAGGTCTTGTGGCAATGTGGTGGATGGATGTATGCTCACAGGCTGCTGCTTATAGGATTAATTAATGTAGTCCTTTGGAAAATAACTCTACACTTATTTATACATTTAAAGAATCACAGACACGTCCATATTACTTTTACCCTGAGAAAATAATCCAACCCAGCCCCCACCAAAAAAGCCAAAGCTGTACTATGAAAGTGCACATTCATATCAGTCAGCAGGGAAATGGATAATTTTAGCAATGCTGTTAGGCAGCCACTAAAAAGAGATAATAATAACCAGGATTTAGCTCAGTGGTTCCGCTGCCTGCCTCGCAAGTGAAAGGTCCTGAGTTAGATCCCTGGTACCAAAAAAAAAAAAAAAAAAAAAAAAAAAAATAC